ACCTTTTAGCTGTGATTTTCACTTAATACTGTGATTGAGATGATGCATAGTAAAGGATCCCATGGAAGGATTTTTTTCAGAGTAACATCCCCAATTCCCAGTAAGTAGTTTGTGAGGTTGTACTGCAGAAACGGCAATAATTGTAAATAGGTTTTTTTTTTTTTTCAACATACTTGGCATTCTTAGACACGAAGTTCTTGTCTGGTCAGCTGCTAAATGCAGTAGGCTGGGGGGAGATGGCATTATGTGCTGAAGGAAAGGTATTTTTTTATTTTAATGAATGCCAGCAGTATTTCACAGGTGGGATTCAGTCCTAATCAAGCAAACAAATCATAACTATTCCTGAATTAGACCATTCAAGTCAAGCATTCCTAGCTGGACTTCCTTCAATGAAGAGGATGGAAATATATGTGATATGTGATATAAACAAGATAGAGCAAACTCAAACCCTGAATCACATAGCACCTCCTGGCAAAGGAAGCAGGCAATGTAATTTAGTTGTAAATTGTTATACCAAGATGTCAGCTGTGTTTGAAGACTGATGTTGACACTGCAATAAAGACACAGCTCTTTGAGCTGTTTCAGGTCTAAATATGCGCTCTCTCTTGAGCTTGGCTTTCAGACCAGCGTTTTCTGGTTTTGATGAAGATAAGAGAGGTGATAAAAGAGCAACTCGTGCCGTTGGTGAGCAACATTGAAGAACCAACCCTTAAGTTTCTGCAGAGCAGAGTCACAGTTCTGTACTGGAACAGATATAATTTCAGGTAGTGCTCTTACAGGGTAGAAATGAGTTAACGTACTGTATTCTGGGAAACATTATTTTATGTGCTGCACGCAGTGAAAGTCTGATCATACTGAGTTATGAGTTTTCATTATTTTTCACCTCTCTTGTACTTTTAGTGTGTATGGCAACACAGGTGAAAATCTTAATTTTCATTTTTAAGAAGTCTCAAAATTTTTCTGTAGGACATAAGCTATATATTTTTTTTCTATAGCATTGTCACACAGTAACTCAAATTCCAGTTTTTGAAAGCAAGTTTATAGGAACGTGGGAGCACAGGTGGAAGCAATTCAGCTGTGTGACTGGAAGGGATGCAGCCTGGCTGCACCTCTCTTAGACCTCACTGAAGGGCTGGCTGCCATAGGGGAAGGATCTCTTTCTGGAGACCCCTCCTTGGTGATGCTTTCCCCTGCAAACCTGGAGTCTTCTGATACAGGTGAGCGATCTTCTTCCCTTCCTTTGTAGCACTTCCCTGTTGTGCCGGTCCTTCTGTCATTGTACCTCTGTTGTAATGCCTTTCCCTTTATGTTGGTCTGTCCCATTGCTACAGCTGCTTAAGTCAGCTCACGTAGGACATGACTTAAAACCAATTCAGAGTCTTGTAAATGACTGGCTTTTATTTTTGTTGTGCTTTAGGACAAGCTTTAGCAGGGAGCTGGAGCACTCCACAATACAAGGTGTCCTACCAGTTATTCAATAGAAGTACCATGGATTGCATCCTTTTGCTCATTACATTTTGAAAATAGGATTTTTTTTTTTGTTTTGAATTGTGACCAGAAGGCCTATCATACTGCAGGTTTTCTGACTGTTCCCCAGTTTGGTGTGTTGTAAGAACTGCTTGGAATGTGTTCTTGAGTCTTATTGTGTGTGTTGCTTTGTCTCAGAATGGAAGCAATGACTTATCACTGGATGCAGCTTAAAGCTCTGCTTGCTGTGAAACCACATCTGTTCTATCCTTGCCTGGCTTTGGAACAGTAAACGGTTCTAAGGTGTTACATGCAGAGCAGCCTGGCTGCTCAGAACAGTTGTGTGTTGTGGTTTCTTGCGAGCAGCTCTACTCTCTGAGCCAGCCCTCTCCATGAATCAAATTGCCCAATGTTCGTGCTTCAAATACTGTGCTGACCTATATACCAGACTAAAGCTTCCTTTTCTAATGTTGACTTACGACTTAAGTGTCAGTGGCCTGTTTTTCTACACTATAGTTATTTTTCCTGTATAACAGTCCTCTGGGATGTGCAAAAGGCCAAATTCAGACTTCTTGGCAGTCGAGATGGGGGAAGAAGAAAAGGTCACTGCAGGACACTGATATAAAGTGGCAGACTTTGAAATAGTGCAACACAGCATTTTGGTTCAGAGATTTATGCACTGTACTACTTGCTAAAATAGGAGAAATGCAGCCCTGGTGTCTCTTGTAAGCTCTCTTCTTTGTTAGTTTACCTCAAAGCTTTTTCTTATACACTAAAACCCAACCTTCTTGTTAATGTTTCTGAAACATTAGAAGAAGGAAGCAGAAGATACTTTCAGCTTCATGTAGGTCTTTGGTTAACAAAAGAGCACTGTTCCTCTTTTGCAAAAAACAGAGAATAACCAGTGGCGACAAAAACTCTCTGTGCTCATCCTCGTGATTAGAGTACTGCTGCAGGATGTGATGCTTCTCAGGATCCACATGTGGCAGCAGTTAGCATAGTGCTGCTTACTGCCCCGCACCAGAAACAAGCTGAAGAAAAAAGTAAGGTGTACTCATGTCCTTTTTTTTTCCCCCTGGCTACTTATTCCCTCTGTTCTTTCTTTTTTGTTTAAAAAAGCGTGGCTTAGAACTGATTCAAAAGAGAGTATGGATTGCTCAAAAATCTTTGGATCCTTTGCTCACATGTCAGCCTGGCCCAGCAGTTGTTGGCTTTGAGAAATGCAAGAAATTAAGAGATTATTTCATGCAGTCAAAAATTGTGGAAATTGCTTAATATTTGTGGAAAAACAACAACAAAAGCACAGAGCTCTCCAAACTATTTTGTGTTGTTCTTGCTTTGAGTACGTACTTTCATTGAAGGCATCTTTCTGAAGTTTTTCTGCGTGTTTGGGGGTTAGGGCTGTGTGTTATCCAGTGCTGCTGAGACTAATTAATCCATACGCTTCTAGGAAATGGGGGGGTTTCCTATGTGAGGCATAACAATTGGTAACAGGATTCAGTAACGTAGCTGAAGCTTGTTTGCAGATGGAGATAATATACGTGCCTGAGCTAGCTGACTCTCCATGTGGAAGGAAGGAAGGACTTTGTATCTTTCCATCTGCAATGGCAGTTAAGACTCATTTTTCCATCAGGGCAGTGTACTTTAAGGAGTGGGTAGCAGCCTTGCCCAAGCTGTACTTCATTAATCAAAACCTTTTAAATGCAGTTGTGCCTGCTGCTGTCACCTGAGGCTTATGCTTTTCTACCTTCTATAGATTTTAAAGTACTGCAAGGAGTCAAATCTTTGGGCTTTCTTCTTTCCTTTTAGGAAGGCAAAATATTTCTCCTCCCAACCCAGGAAAATTTGAATACACTGGGATCACTGGCAGTCTCAGTATTCCACTTAAATATGTGTGTTTTTTTTTTTAATTTAGGTATGACTATTAACAAAACTCCTCACAAGATACTGAAATTATATCGTTCAAAAGATATGCATAGCATTCTCTTGTGCAGAAACAAGATCAGGATGGATGCCTTTGTGTTTAAAGTGTTCAGTTTGTGTTCTACACAGCAGAATGTAAGCTGAACGTTATCTGTAATTTTTATATCTATTGTATTACAGGCTGTAATCCCAGCTTCCTAAGTAACCGTATATTAAGATCCATGCACGGTCATTTTAGTTACAGATCAACTTTCAGTTGGTAAATCCACTTGTTGATTCTTCCATCTGATTGTCACTTTATTCATTTAAAAAACAAACAAAAAGTGCACGCACAACAATAAACCTTTTTTTTTTTCTAGAAGGCAGTCACAGATTTTTCTGAGCGCCAGTTTTAGAGTTGTCTGTTTCGTATGTTTAGGGGAAGGATGTTGTTGATTTGAAGATAATCAGTTGTGGTGCTGGGTTTTGAGGTGCAATGTTTCCAGCTGTGCAAGACCCCAGCTGTCTTCCAACGTGACTCAGCTGGGCCACGAGCTTGTCTGGTCTGTAACAAAGGGGCTCGGGATATGTGGTGTGTGACTGCTCCCTGAAGTGCTCCTATTTCATGTGGCGGAGCAGCAGGGACAAGGAACAGAGCAATGGTGTGCTTCAAACTGGTTTTGTGGATTAGGAAGCATTTCCTGAGAAAGAAAAGAGGGATAGGATGTAATAGCTCTCTGAGAAGGGTTCTGCTTTGGATTGCTGCAAGGAGCAATGCAGCAGTTGGGGCAGGCATGTTCTGCATGGTTCTCCCGAACGAAAAAAGAAAGATTCTTGAAGGACAGTTTTGGAACATTTTTATTCTTTCTGTATGGAAAGCATATGTTTTTCCTTAGCTTAGCAGTTACATTTTGTGAGTCTGCATGCACTGGCTTGAATGGGCTGTTTAGAAAGAATATGAAATGCTCCCTGGTGGTAACATTTATCCAGTCCCTGCTTTCTTCCAGAGAAAAGAATGGCCTTCTTTGTAAACATAATTCCTGGAGATGAAAGTATCAGAGCAAAGGGATTAGTGGGTGGGCTCTTCGATATTCCCCAAGTCTGCAAAATACCATTTTTCCACACACTAAAAAGAATTGCAGGCACATTCTTTCTCAGGAGATAACATGAAAGTTTTACTGAGAAGCAATCAGGAGTTCCCACGAGTGTATGGGAAATATCACAATGCAAAAATGCTTATTTACAAAATAAAGCATGGACCTAGCAGTGAGACACTGAGATGTTTGTCCATTGTAATGTTACAACCATGATGTAAAGCTCAAGTCTATTCTACCAAAGTTCCTGCCTTAACTAGGAGTTTTGATGCTCTCGGTGCAAGCTACTGCTATGAATGCAGTACAGTCACCCGTAACATAAAAGACTGAGGAGCATGATTGTCTGGAGTGATAAAAGCAAACAATGATGCTAATATTATGAATTGTTCAGTGCTTAATTGTTAGGGTTTGTTCATTTGTTTGCTTACTGGCATTAGGAATTCACAGATGTTAAATTCTTTGGTAAAACATCTATTTGTATCAGACAGAGGGCACCACCAATGCTTCCTTTGTCCTGAAGTTTCAAAAATACTGACCTTGGGATAGATAGATATGCACATGAGTTTTTCATTATTTTGCATTAAAACTCAGGTGGATTTAATTTATCTTAGAGATAACTTTGGCCCGGCGTATTTACAGAATTAGCCTGTAGTTCATTCATGGTTGATGTTTGGAAAAAGCATGCGAAGACTGAAGAAGTTAAATAAATAAAATTAGTTACTTATATAATTTGTTGTCTTGGTGCTCACCATTGTTGGTTTTTTTTTTTCCATCATAGTGAAGAGTTGTCTAATGAAACACTGATGTTTGATCATGATGTCAAAAGCCCTGTGGGGTAAGTAAAACAAATAGATGACTTACAAGTGAGCAAATACTACCAAAAAGCTATCAGCATGTGTGTCTATAAAGGAAAAATGTTAATCAGATAATATCTTGAAGTTATTTTTCTGTATGTGTATGTCTGTTTCTCAGTACATGAAAACAAAGCACCTGGTTTATGATTAGAGGAAGGTAGATTGGTTCATTGTTTCCTTCCCTCTCCAGCCACTTAGAACTCCTTTAGGTTGCTTCCTTTACTGAAGTTGTAGATGTGCAGAAATCAGGAGTGCTGCTGTCTGGTGTGTGGAGTGGTCAGTCACATTTGCCAGATAGTAGTGATTTTGTTATTGTGAGAACTTAATTTTGTACATGAACAGTGTTGGTAATGTATTTGTTGAAAACATTTATTTCAGAGATAATTCATAAACAAAAGAAAAAAATCGTCTGCATGCTTTTTTTGTTGTTGTTTCAAGCAATTCATCATAGCTGTAGATGTTTACAAATGAATGCTTCTTTTCTTACAACATTTGATAAGGATAATCTTAGTTTGATCCCAGAAATTTTTGTGATCACTGAAATTGGTGAGGTTTATTTCACCTTTCTGTGTGACAAATATTAGAAACAGTTTCATGAATCTAGTGCTACCATTTAGAGAAGGAAATTAAATAGAAATGTTTCAACATCTTAGAAATCTCAGGTAAAATTTGAGTTGGCAGATAGCTCTCATGAAAGCTGAAATGTTGCAAGGTCATTCTGTCCTCCCTGCTTGCTATTTGCTGAAAGAATAATTCCTGGAATCCTAGGTGATGTTTGGAAATGTGAACTTCTTATCTGAAAGTCAATGTTTCAGTATAATGCCTTTAAAGTTATCTTTTAGATTAGGACTTGATGAAAAGTGAGGAAAACATGAAGACTCATCTTAATAAAAAGGTTTCGTGCTCCTTCTTTTCCCTGATAATTGATCAAATCCTTTCCAGAATATCTCTAGCTAATTGTTATTTCCTTGTAATAATGTATGGTAAGTTGTAAAAACTCCTACGCTCAGGAGGGAAGTAGTCAGAAACGATGACAGTTTTGTTTTTTATACTTCTATGCGGATGAAATTTATCTAGTGCACTCTATTACCTAACAACAAATATTCTTTAGCATTCCTCTTTAGAATTGCTCGTTATGCTCCAGTACTGGAGCGCTCTCCAAACCTCACATGTGTTGGAAATAAAATGTACTCCCACCAGTCTTTGAATGTTAGTAAGGGCTAGGGTGGGCTTGTATGTTTCCACAGCAAGCTCAAGAGCAAGATCCAAAGGCTTTGAGAAAGCTCAACACGTTGCCAGCAAGTTTGGAACACATGGCACCTCTTTAAAATCCCTTCTCAGAGAAGAAGGATACTTAAAATAGACTGCTCTGTAACACCATGTGTAAGCTATTATCAGTCAAAACTTTTCCAAACTCATTGTTCAACATTCTGTAAAGGGAACCTCTTCAAGCAGCAGAGAGCCCCTGCCTCAGGAAATGCGGAGGAAATGTGCTTAAAGCAGGAAAGAATCTCCCAATTTAAGACCCAAAGAAGGATTTAGAGGTGCAAGCAAGCTTCTTACAGATACGTTACGTATTCTATATCATTAATAATGTCTCTTTAAAAATACAATGCAGTGTTATTCTGATCTTTAAATGATGCTATCTGAGACCTCAGTGTTGCTTTTGTGAAGTGGCAAATAGCTTAACTTTTCATAAGAAGTTGATTTAGAACTGCTGTGCTGGTTTTTGTTGCTTCTGTATTGTTTGGTTGAACTGTTAGGTTCATTAGGTCAGTTCTGTAAATGCTGCAGTAACTTTACAATGCCACACAACCTGTCAGGCTATGTTTTCTATTACTTCTCAGCAAAGAATGCTGTTAAGCTTCATCTGATTTCTGAAAATGATCTATGCATATCAGCTAGCTCAATTATTAGCTCAATTATTTTAGTTCTTGATGGTGACTGAGATTGTTGTGTATCTAGTGATTGCCCAGGGAAATATGTCTGGTCCAAGAAGAATAGCAGAGAGGACTGAGGGACTCTGTATGAAAAAAGACTTTAAAAGCTGCTGTCTGAATTCTGCCATGTTTAAGGTGCATCATCATGCCATGTGCAAAAAGCTGAATCGACTGTAGCTGGGAACAGCATTTTAAAATAAAATTCTGAAGCTTTCAAGTTCACATCAATGATTAATTTAACCATTGCTGCATAATAGTGAACTGGGAACTGAACGAAATTCCACACTGCTGACAGAATTTGATCAGTTGCAAATGAAGTAAACTCAGTGCTGTGACGAATCATGGTTTAAAGCCTCCACCATATAATGAATAATGTTTCATTACTTTTGGAAATGGTGAATAACCAAAATAAATTTGGTCAGTGGAGAAAATCCACTTCCACAAAGCTGAAATGGGGAAATTAATTGAGGAAGTTACATGACTTTGGACCGCAGCCCTGTTGAAAAATTGGATCCACTTCACAAATGAGAATGTTGCCTTTTTCCACAGAGCTTGAATGTCTGCGAAGAGGAACAGTGATGGCTTGAGAGTACCTGTTTTCTATCAAATCCTGCTTGTCTTCTGAAAATTCCAGAGCGTGTTTTATTGTATTGCAGTTTTTACTGAGACCCTGCACGTTTTCAGTAAATTAGTTTATATCCCTGCTGGGAGGTTTTCCCTTCCAATCCGTTATAAGTAGTTAAACAAAACAGAAGTTAGTAATGCAGGCTCAAGCTGATGGTGGACGTGTTATGGAGGTGCACTGGAACAGTGATACTACTCTGAATTCAGTTCTGACCCTCTTGGTCTAAGGGCTCTGTGTTTGCTTTGTCTTTAGAGATGATTTTTTACTCCTAACAAGGAGACAAATTATAGTTCTCAAGATCCTCTTTCAATTTGCCTTGCTGAATTGTTAAAAGTCCTACACATATGAAACATACGTAGATGATTCTTGAATGTGTTTATCAGTGCTCACTAACACGTAAAACCTTTGGTTGCTTAGCTCCATGAGCATCTCAAGGCTTGATTGACTCATCCCTGTATTTGGTCATATGGCCAAGTGCCTGGAAGTTTGTCATTTGAGAGAATGAGTAGTTATAATTTGCAGGACATTGAGGGAGACATTCATATTGCTTGTCCTTGCTCATATATGCAACGTTTAACCTGTTTTGTTGCTGTTTATGTTGCTCTTTTTTCTTCCAGATGCTTTGTGCCCAGAAGCATTTCAGCAAACTGTGCTCAGATAGGTTTTGGCCTTCTCTAAGAAGTGAGAAATGTTGAAAGTAGGGCCTACATTCCAATTCACTGTGACGCTCAATTTATAGTAATACATGACTATTAAAGAGATGAGAGAGCAGAAGGAACAAAAATGATACCTTTGCTTTTTCCAGTCCCATGAAAGCTTGAAAGGCAGTGCATCCCTTTTATCATGGTTGTTCTGCAACATTTAGACCAAGCCTAAACGCTGTAATTGCTGAAGATTTTGTGGCAAGGAGTTGCAGCTGTTTCTGTTCACATAATCTTCAAGCTAGTCAGGGCTTTCTTTCATCCCTACTTCTTTCACTCCAAATTAGAACATGTCTGAGCTTGGTTGGAATGTACAGTTGCTACCTACCTGTGGGCTGCGTATCTGGTTATGGTTGACTTTTCTCTTTTGGGTCTGACTGGAGATTTTTTGAATTGAAGAGTGTAGGTTCTGTAGATTCAGCTCTAAAAATATGCTTATAACTTCTGAGTAAATAGCAACTGTCCAGAGATCACTTGACTGCTTTGCAAGAGGTGTCATCAGTGAAGAGTCAGCTTACAGTTCCCATTGATGTGAAAGTTAGGAATATCGATATAACCTGTAGTCTGACAGATTAATGTTTTTCTTCCAAGTATACATATTTTTCTATTTCAAAGGAGACAGTTGCTGTATTTTTATGTGCACTGACTACTCTGCTCTTTAAAAATAATATAAAGAGGCTGACGATAGCCAAGTGCATAATGTAGACTGCTTGTCCAAACACATTCCTCATAAATTACACCACATCCTTTTAGTCCCTTCCTAGAGCTTATATGAGTGTACAAAAGCAGATTAGAGGCTTCCAGTATCCTAAGCTTACTCCAAAATACTTCAAACTGTAATTCTACTGTGAGAACTCTAGATTGGAGTTGGCCGCAGTGTGTGAATGTAGATCTGGGAGTGGATGTTTTTCTTGCTCCTTAGGGGATATCTAAAGTAAGAAGAAGAGATACTTACCTTCAAAGCAAAATGTATTTCCATGGACAAGCAATAATGTCTGAGCAGTACATGTAGCAACAGTAAGCATGTGGCAGGGATATTTTTGAGATAAAGAGAGCAAAATATAATTTCTGCCTAAGCCCTTAAGAATATGTTTTAGGCTTCTTCCATTCCTACCTCTCCATAATTTCAGTCTAAAGAATTCTGTGATTGTTTCCTTCGTAAATAGATGTACTCCTTTGTGAATGCTTTCTCTTCATTCGTCTGTCATAGCCCTCAGATTGTCACAGAGCAGTTTGTGTTTATCACTGTGACATTTGGAAGTATGTAAATGGCTTGCAGATACTGTGCTGGTGTGTAATCAAACTTGGCCATGCCAGTTTAACATAGAGATGACAGAATCACACTGGCTCTGAACAGGACTGGGTATAATAAGATATCTAGGTTTTCCTGCTACGTAAACATTTTCATGTCTTTATTAATTGGAAAGGGGTTTCTGTTTCTTTCCAAGCTCATGTAATATCAATCAGACTCAAGAATGAGGCACATACAGTATATTAATGATTTCACAATTATACTGCCAGAGAATTGAAGAATAGCTGGGGAGTAATGTGTATGTGTGTATATGCATATCTGTATAGTATGTATGTATAAACATTGAGCATAACCAATACAGTTTCTCAGAGTATGTAATGTGATTGATGCATTTTAATGTGTATTTAATGTGACATATCATTGACCTTAAACTTAAGTGAGTATTTTCTTTTTCTTACGTCTTGAATATCTTCCACCGTGAACAGATCTTGAAGCTGATCTATGAATTGGCAAGAGCTCTGTGGTCCACTGAAATAAAAACATGAGGATAACATTATTAATTATATAAATCTACAGGCAGAAAACCTTTTGAGTTGGCTGTTCATTAGGAGTAGATATCAGTAGCTTTCATCCTAAAGCGCTACTTCATAACATGGCAATGTTTGAGCATAAAGTACCTACAGTGGCTGTGGCCAGTTCCAAAGTTGTTAACCGAGGGCGAATGGGAAATAATGTCACTGTTGCTCATTTACTGACAGATCAACCGGTATGAATAAATGAGAACATGTTTTGACTACTGCAGTACAATTATTCATTAAGTTCTTGTTTGAAAACTGTTCACCTGTGACAACCAACAAATTACCTGCAAAATTTTCTTTTATTATAAATCACCATCATCTTTACCTTCCTGTGCACTGGTATCGCATGAGTTGTAGACTTGTAGGTGGTACAGAGCTAGGAACGAGGGTGGAGAGAAGGCTGGTGGTTATGAAGTCTTCTTGCCTGAAAGTTTGTGTTCACAAGTTGCAGAGGTAATGGGGTAATGAACAAGCAGATATCTCCTCTCCTCAGCAACCCCATCTCTTGAGGCTGTAATGTTACTGCGGAGCAGTGGGAGATTCAGAGAAGGATTGATGAGAACTTCCTAAGCTGAAGCTGCTAAGCTGCTTTTGAAGAAACAAAAAATGATGTTTGAATTGGTTCTTTCCTTTGAATAATTGTATGTGTTCTTGGATGAAATTGGTTCAATTTTATGTTTCTCCTTTGGAAGGATCGGCTATTCTGCTTTTCATCCAATGCTTCGTGTGTGTGTACTTAGCTCCAAGCAGCAGAGCACTTAAACATTAAAAATAGCTTTCTTGATACAGTACTGCTAACTATACATTGGTGCAGCAACTAGAAGATGAAAACCAGAGTGACATTTAGGACATTTAAACATTACAGTAATGCAAATAATGATGGTACAGCTTAGCATAAAACAGGGAGCATGTGTATTCTGTCTGTGAATTGTTTGAGATAATTATCTGCCTAGCAGATCAGGAAGAATTTCAATTAGCTGCAACACATAAGTAAAAAACATGGTGAAGAAGTATTAATTTAGGAGATGAAACTGCAGGCCAGATGTTCATTGTAATTCCTGGTTGAAGCAAAAGGGTCAGTGTTTCTACTGTCAACATTACAACATTAGGATAATTATGTTTATATAGCTTTTAAGACATTTTTTTAATAGCAAGATAATATTAGTTCTTCAAAAGCTCATACATTCAGATTAGAACATAATTAGTCATGTCAGTTCAAGAAGTCAAACTAGATGGAAATCACTTGACAGGAAATATTGTGTTGTACATATGCTGAGACACTTCAGCATATGTACAATAACATATGTGAAAATTCAGTAGAATTTTTAATTAATTTTCCCTTGCTTCATTTAAGAGCTAGCCTCCAAAGGGAGGATGTCTCCTGGATGAAGGCTGCTTTCTGAGAAGGGATGTGCTGGAGAACCTAAGTTTGTGAATTCTTCTTTCTAGGTGGCTTACAGTTTGGATTCTGTGAAGTTCCTCCTATGACTCAGCCTCCAGAAGTGCTTCTATCCTCTAATGCCATGTACCATTTGGATGAGGTGATGTAAGTGCTTTTCAATGTGGGGTTATCTTTTGTGTTATTTGGAGTTAATTTTAGTATCAGCAGCAGCAATTCCTGTAGTCTAAATCAGATGAGAATTGAAAATGTTGAAAAGATCTTTCTTCTCCCCCACTCCCCCTTTCTCTTTTTCCCCCCACAACAAAGAACACTGATTTTTATTTTTTTTAAGTGTCTGTTGAGTCAGATTTGCCAAGTACAAACAGCTACCTATTGGGAACTACCTACTAAGGGAACAGCTACCTGCCTGTGCTCCATCCTCTCTTCACCTGTGTCAGAGCATTCTATTTTTCTGCAAAACATCTGCTTCATGAGCCTTTCTTAAAAGAATTCAATTAGAAAAGGAGTGTGCAATATATGGCTGTTTTAGATTCATCAGATCTTTGGAAGAGGAGAGGTAACAGATGTTTGATTCAAAAGTGTCCAATGGAAACACATCACAGCTCTGGTATCTTGGTGAGAAAAAGTGTTTTTGTTTTCTCTAGTGACCTGCATTACTGTTTGTCCAATTTCATCTCATTAACTGCTGAACACGGATTCTGCAAAGACAGTGTAATTTCTGGACCTTTGCATTCAGTATCCTCCTGACACCCATCCCTCCCTGGAAATTCTCCACTAAGACTTTGTAGGCGGAGGTTGTGATTGACATTTAACTTCCAAAGGAAAGTGGAGATCTGTGGATACTATGAGAAAGCATAATGTTTACACTTTTAAGCATCATTTAGAGGCTTTACTCTGACACCGAAAGAGTGGCAGTGAACTGTGCATCAGGTCTATATACTCTAGTTTGAAACCTGAAAGCTTTTCCTCAGTGTTTTTATTACAACATTGAAGTGTTATATAAATGATAGAGAATAAATGTAGAACAACGATCTTCCACTTGTGCTCCAAATGAAATATTAGTTGCTCCACAACAACACCCTGAGCACCTCAGTCAGACAGAAGCCAGCAGGGCTCTGACACCTTTTTAGTCAGCCCTAGCATGTGTATCTCTAATCTGAAGATTATGAGGCACTTTCAGCAGTGAAAATGCACAATGTCAAGTGAAAATCAGACCCAGCTCTTTGTAAAATGCAAAATGCTGTTTTCCTCTTGCTTGCAGAGCTTTATTATTTCTTTAAAACTCACATCCCTCTGTTCAAATTACATACCTTTTATGGTCTAGGGTCATGCATTTATGGAACATGATTCTAGTTATACTGATAATGACATCAACTGTCATGCTGGCACCAAACTCCTCTCTTAGTGATGTGCATGTGTCTCGTGGCAAGCGATGCCAAAACGTTTCATTACTGCAGGCAGCAAAGAAAATATTGCCTTGTTTTTATTAAGTAAATGAATTTCCATAAGGGTGAAAAGGGCCAAGTTAATGGAAACTGAGTTAAAACAAGGATTCAAGAGGGAAGGAAACTGGTACCAATCATGCTTAAGTAACTTCTACTCACCTCAGTGTTTGTAGTTACCTCTTAGCTTCTTAAGCAAACAGTTCTGTTTGCTGCTTGCTGTTCAGTCATGCGGTCAGGAAGCATTTAGTCCTGTGTCACGTGTGCTGTGATATAGTAATGGGATTTGTGTGCTGCTGATAAACAAATATGGGAATAGTATTCCATCAAAAAAGCCTCGAATTTCTTTCTTCCTGTGGGACAAAATGAGCAACTGAAGTAACAAATGTGATTTCTATATATTTCTACTGCATGATTTATGCAAACTTAACTTTTCTCCAGCAGCAAACTTTATAAGAGAGACCTTCCAGCTGTGTTCTCTGATGTCCAAAGAATCCTTTCCCTTAGCCAGATGCTGAAGACGGTCAGTGTCTTCCACCTAACTGCCTCTTCTGTCTTAATTATTTCTGAATTGTTAATTCCTTTGTCAACTGGATTTGGAATTTGCTAGCAAATTTGTAAACTGCACGGGATGTGACCTTAGTGTCCAAAAACATTGTGACCATCACAGTCTAATTCCCTAGGCAACCGGCTGATTAACCCAGAACAGAGAAATCTGAGTTATTTGCAGGTGCCTTGTAGTCCAGTGGGCAAAACTTTGTCACAGTGTTTGGCAAATTAATGTCTCGTACCTGTCTCATACTAATTCAATGACTGAGTCAAGTCAACCTCTTTTTTTCGTTTGTTTTCTATTTTTTTCCTCTGAGAATTGGGTTGTGTGATAGTGCGCCTGATGTGGAAACAGAGATGTATCCTATAGCAGAGTCATGAGAAAGCAGGTCTTCAGGCGACCTTCGGAGTCTGCCAGGCGGTTCCTCCCACCTCACTGTGGGTGGATATATGCTCATATCATTGTTTTTGTATCTGCTTGCCTTGTTCTCAAATAATGCAGTTATCTCCCTAGCCAAGGTATTTTCAGAACTTCTGTACTGTTGCTAGAAAATCTTGCTAGTAATTTGCAGACCTGTGAAATTTGCAAGCATTTCTGTCAGTTATATCCAAGTAAGAGTCTGTTGCTTTCAGCGTCATAGAGGAAGATATAAAGTATTAACTTACAAACTACATTTAATCTACACCATCCTAGAAAGGCACATATGTATTCCTCCTCTGTTATGAGGCCTGTGCTTCTGCTCTGCACTCCTGGTTCTATTCCTCTGGAGGGGCAGAGATAGGCTCTTCTGCCTGCTTATTCATCAAGCTGAATCCCCTTTTCCCTCACCTGTTTTTTCACTGTGTACTCATTCCCTTTCTTTCAGCAGTGCCAGCACTTTTATTCATGGAGCTGTAACAAAATGAGAGGGCTAATGATTAAGGTATGACTACACACCTTTTTTAAAGGTATCTGCAGTGAGCACAAACTTTGCAAGAAATCCACTAACTTGTGAAAATGGCACAATAAATACCTCCCTCATTTCTCTCCTACTTGAGATTATTCTGCCTTCTCCACAAAAATGCCTCAGCTATAACCTCAGGCAAGAAAGCTGAAAGCAGCAAAATCTGTTATAAACATCTACTGCAAACTCCTCACAAATGCCTTAACCTTCTGGGCTATTCCTTCTGCTGGAGGTACGTATTCACAGTGGTGCCAGCTCTCTCTGAATTTCCAGACCTTTCATTGCATGTGGGCAGAAACGTGAGAAACATTTCCTGCTAACCCTGACAGACTGTCCTGCTGTTGGGAGGCATTGCTTTCAGTGATAAGCTCTCCCCAGAGTTCTTCCCTAGAGCTGAGCTCAGGCTGCTCACTGAAGCCAGGGAGTTGTCTGCTGCCGCATCTGTGCATGCCCATTAGCTAACTGATCTGCAGAAATTCTTACAGCTGAAAATCTTCTGGAATTTGCTGCCTACATCATGCTCTGGGTGTATATCTGGATGTTACTGAATATTCTTTTCCGTATCTTTTCATTTACGGGGGTCATCAGTGTTCATATGCTCGAGGCACGTAGC